GTGTGTTGTGTATGTAGTGTGTAGTTTATATAGTGTGTTGTGTATGTAGTGTGTAGTTTATATAGTGTGTTGCGTGTTGCTGTGACTGTGCAGCTTCTCACTGTCACATCTCAACACCTGCTGGTTGAGTTGTGTGTCATTGTGTACTTCCTGACAACACACACTATTGTCACGTAGTTGTGTGACTGACTGGCGTCATCATTCAGAGTGTTGTGGTAGTTTTGTGTTATTTTGTATTATTTTGTGGTAGTTTTGAGTCTCTGTGGTAGTTTTGTGTTGTTCTGTGGTAGTTTTGTGTTATTTTGTGGTAGTTTTGTGTTGTTCTGTGGTAGTTTTGTGTTATTTTGTGGTAGTTTTGTGTTGTTCTGTGGTAGTTTTGAGTCTCTGTGGTTGGCACTGAGTCCTTTGTGGTCGTTGGTTTCATTCTGTCTCTGTGGTTGGCACTGAGTCCTTTGTGGTCGTTGGTTTCATTCTGTCTCTGTGGTTGTGTTGTTGTGTGTTGTTGTGGTTATCAGTGTTGTTAGTTGTCAGTGTGTCTTTGGCTCACTTGAGGAATATTGTGTGTGTGTGTGTGTGTGTGTGTGTGTGTGTGTGTGTGTGTGTGTGTGTGTGGTTGCTGCTCTGTTTGTTCATGTTGCACGTGTTTGTGTCAGATGTGTGTCCCTTTGTGGACATGTTGGGTCTGTCGTGGTTCGGGTCCTCCTGTGTGGGATCTAGTGTGTCTGGTCGCTTTGTTCCGCTTATTGTGGCGCATTTTGTGTCTGATTCAGTTTCAGTGAGTCTCTGCGGGGATTTTTGTGACACCTGAGCAGGTGTGTGTTCTCACAGGTCAGAGATTTACAGCATAGTTCCTCCATCTCCTCTCTTCTCTTCTCTTCTCATCTCTTCTTTTCTTTTCTTTTCTTTTCTTTTCTTTTTTTTCCCACGTTTTGTTTTTCCCAGTCGGTGACGTCACGGCGCGGACGCAGCGCGTGCAGCTGTGTTTGTTGAGCTCGTGAACAGGGAAGCAGAAAGTTGAGGCGAAACCCGAACAGAGCCGAACAAAACCGAACAGCTGCGGCTCGGAAAGTGCCGAGCAGCGAGCCGAAGAGCCGCCCGAACCCCGGCGGCCATTTCGGGCTCCGACGGAGTTTGTGGGAGAAGTTGTTCGGAAGGAGGAGAACCGTCATGTCCCCGCCGTGACCAGCACCGACACACGGACACCGACATGGCCGAGGCCCGGGCCGAGCAGGACGACGACAACATGCCGAGGGACGCCCGGGAACCGGTGGTCCGGAGACCGCCGAGCAGCTCCGGAGGTACCGGACCGGTCCGACCGGTTCACAGTGGGCTTTAACCAGTTTACAGCGAGTCAACCAGTCAGTTTAACTAGTTTACAGTGAGTTGACCAGTCAGGTAGAACAGAACCCGCTGGTCTGGGTCCAGGTCAGCGACTAGTTAGAATACTAGTTAGAATACTAGTTAAGCTGGTTGTCAGAGAACAGCGGAACTCTGCTTCGGTTCTGTTACTGTGAAACTCTGCTGCTGTTGGTCTGTGTGGTGCTGAGTGTGTAGTTGTGTTGTGTGTCTGTTGTTGTG